AATGGAGGATGGCTTTGCTCCCTCTGATGGGAGCTGTGACTTCAATCCCCTCTGCCAAGGAGCAAAGGCAAAGCCTGCAGAGGGTGGTCACAGCTCCGTGCTGTAACCGCTAAATATATAAATGCTTGGGTTCCCACTCTCAGCTTTCTATATCAGATTCCTGGCCTCATCCACATCGGTAGGATGATGTATCCGGTTGCAACTCACACTGGCAGAGGGCAGCTCAGTGCCAAAGGCCACTGTTCCCAGGGTGCTTGACAACCTTGTCCCACTCTTAACTCACACCACTGCCCTGTGGCCACTTCTGCCAGCCCAGGTCTGCTCTCACCTATTACTGTTATTAGAAAAGCACAACATAACTTGCTTGCCACAGCACCACCAGCAGCTGTACAGGGCAAAGAGGACCTCTTTTAAGTAGTGCCAACCCTTCTGCCACTGTTTTGCTATACTGGATAATGGTTTTTCATTAAGAAATTGTCTATGCTGCATACAGCATTATGGTGTTCAAAACATCATGCAGCAGCAATGCTTCATAGGTCAGAGGCCATCAGGGACCAGGAAAATACTTTAGGTCACAATTCTGGAAGTTACTAAATTTTAACAGCTGTATCAGAGAAACAAGGCTTGCAAGGGGAGATAGCATTTTTTATTAATCAGACTGCCACAGCTGGGAAAAAAGGGATACATTCTGGCACAGAAACCCTTCTGTTTAAAGGCACTGGCTCTACTCTTTGGAGAGCTCTTTTCCCCAAGTGCACAAGTTTAAATCTTCATTCTGATTTTGCTGCTCTGAGGTGTTTTAGCACAAGACAGTCAGCAGGTATGAGCTGAGAAACTGTCAAAATTAAAGGAACTAATAACAGCTGCATGTAACCACAAGTGATCTTCAGAGCTCCACCGTTTAGACTACAGGGTACTTCTTTCCATGTTTCTCACCAGCCCCCCATACAGCAGGCTTTTAAGAGCCAGTTACACTCCGACTGCCCTCCTGTCAAATCAGTGTCCAGTGTGTTGGCTAAGATCAGGGATCACAAACTGCCTCCTCTCTGGCAGGAAGACTTACCACTGTGGGTGTCCAATACAGGAGTGCTAGGCATGCTGGCACTGACTGCATTTGCTACAACATAGGAATTGCTGTTGACTGCAGTTGACCCAGGGCAGCATCTCCAACTATGTTTAAAATAAGCATACATGCAGATGAAATTATCCCTGCTTTTCACAAGACAGACTAAAAATTCTATCTATGCTTTACGGAAGAGGATGGGAGTTTTACCAACTCTCTGAGAGACAACATTATGTGGGAAAGGGGAATTGATTTTTACTAACCTCTCTTCCACTGTCATGCTACTTTTCAATTTTCAGTGCAACCTCTGATATCAGACGCATTCTCAAGAGTCATGGGAATTGTCAGTGCAAATATATTTAGCCATATCCCTTTGGGTAGGTGGGGGAGGAAAGAGACCCCTAAATAGCTGTAAGATAACAATTACTGCAAACATATTTGCTTAGGCAAAGTTTAGTCAGAGTTCAGAGAGAAGTTCTTGGCAGCTGGATGGCCAACAGCCAGCTTCTTCTCAAACTGTCCCTAAGAACCTTTAGTCTGTGAGGAGCATGATCAGAAGAGAAACGCCTCTGCTTTCCTTAAGTCTTCTCCACATGCTCTAAGCACTCCTCAGTGTAAAAGAAATGCTTAAATAAATGGCAAATTATTTAGAGATCTCTTCCCTTTAACAAAAACAACAAAAAAAAACAAAAACAAAAACAAACAAACAAACAAAAAACCAAAACAAAAAGTAAAATCCAAGCCCTGAATGATAGAACGCATGTTTTAAATAGGAAAAGGAAAATTCTCACTATTCACAATACTGCAAAGGAATCAGAAAGTTCACAGCTCTACTAAACGGGTAAAAATGCCCTGGCTTTCATTCAACTGCAGCATTAGTGGGAGTGAGGAGAAGTCTCCCACACAGCCATAGGAGAAAACTGTGGGAGTCAGAGTGGAAAAGTAGCAGGGGGAGGATGTGAACACTGTTAAAAATAAAACTTATCAAACAACAATTGAATCATGAGAATGTTATCTGGTTCAACAGGAGTGTGAAAACAAATAGGCATTTCAAGAAGAGGGCCACTAGCAAGGTAAATAACTTTCAAATAGCAGGATGTGACCAACGAAATGTACCAAACTGAGGACAACAAAAAAAGGTCTCCCCAACAGCAGAAGACAGTGGTGGATATGGATTTCAGTGTCACCTCTGTGCAGTGCCACTACCCTACATCCAGCAGCGTGGCACTGCACCTATCCCTCACATCCCTAGCCATAGTAAGACACAAGACTGAAGAGATTTGCACAGGACAACGTTTAACATGACCCAGTGTTTATTGACTCCTGCTACAGTTTTTTTTTAATAGTAACAGGAACACAAAATGTGATGGATGGTAAAATACTACTAGGAGTTTCTATATGAATCCAATGCAAAGTGCCAGCATTGTTGACCAGCATACAACCTGACAAGAGAAGATGTAGTTATAACTCACTCTCAGATATCTGCTGGGAGTACATCACAAAGTAGAAGTAGTCATTTGCCTGCAAATAGATATTTTCTTCTAGATGCAAGTGGTGTTAGAGCCAGCTATTTTGCAACAACAAATACATATAATATATTCCAACATTTTAAAAAACACAATTGGAAAGGACTAAAACTGTTTAAAGATAGAAGGAAAAAAGAGTGGATCTTTTTAGTCACTACTTTGTAGAGGTCATTCCTCATAGAGTCAGAAGTAATCTAGAGAAAAAGATTTATTAGAGGCTACTTTGCTCAAAAGGCCAGTGGCTGCAGGTTTAGGAATAAAAATAATCTCTTGATTTTCAGCACTGTTTCCTGGCCTTTTTCCTCCCTGCACAACAAAAACCACCTGTTGAAAATTGTGGTTTGGTGGCTCTGCACATTTTTCCCATGCAACTGCATTTGAAAAGGCAACCGTATTTCTTAAGAGCCATGAAAAACTTGTATGATGTGCACATGTGGCATGAAATATCTTCACAGATACAAATGATGAAGGCACATTTTCTAAAGGTTAAGAAAAAAAAGCCCAGAACTTTTGGAGGATTAAACTTAAATGCTTTAGAGAAAACACTTTCCCAACTGGCTAACAAGTGCTGTTTGGCCATATATGATTCAAACAGCTTACCATGAAGACAATACCCAAGGAAAGAGCCTCGTTGAAATGCCCTCCCCACTGTAGCAACCTGCTTCCCCCACAGTTCTTTAGTCAATTGCATTCTTACACAGCAGTTTGCAACAATCCCAGAGACAAGTAAGAGAAATCTATGTAGAAAACATCACGCCTGGGTATTCCTACATGAGCAACACCCCATACCTCCCACCCCCAATTAAACTACAGTATCTTCAAGGAGATAATCCCACTCTTCTGGAAACAGGGTAAAAGTCTGAAACAGAGGACTGAGAAAATGGTTTTAAAATCCTGTTCCCTCAACTTTTTTGCACTTGATTATGTGTGTTAATAAAGACAGGGCTCTCTGACACAGAATAATCATTCTGTCTTCTATCTAGATGAGGAAGATATTGGCTAAAAATGAAAACATGTACTTTATTTACAATAAATGCAATCATACGGCTCCATGCTCCATCCACCACCCATGTGTTGCTGACCACTGCAGAAACCAGGTGGTAACAACAGTGGTAACTAAAGTACTTCCCTTTTTCAGACTTTAAACAAAAGCCTTTCCCCTCCCATCACGTTGGTTTTTCACTGTTCCAGGCTCCAGTAAGATGTGTACTAACATCTCTTATTAGTGCATTTTTAAAGTTACAGTTACTAGAGGCAAAGCAATACTTGCTCTGCTCTGTTTTAGCTGGTTTTACTCCTTTTAAAATCATGCAGGAGTTTAAAATTTACATAACATTATCAACTTTGCATAGTAATACAACAGGTGGTGTTCCACCACCTTTTCTAAATAAGGGCCCCCTTTTTCAACACCTCACATGTTTCAAAGGATTACCTCTCACTCTCAAGGAAGAGCCCTAACTTTCTCCTCCCACACGGGCATTGCAGAATGAGAATTAAGTTATCATTAAGTTTCCTTCAAATTTATGGTGTGTTACTTAGAAGCAACTATAGAGGAATAATGTTTTTCATAACATTAGACATTTATCAGATTATTTGTTGTTTTCTGGTCTTGAGTTGTAAGAATATTTGTCACACATGTTCCCTCATACTCCTCTCTTAAGGTGCACAGTGGTCAGGCCTATAAGACCATAGCTGGATCTCTGGGAGAAGCCAGAGAGAATGAGGGGTTTCTTAGCACTACTGTATTTACATTCAGCATTCAAGGACAGGCTGAAGAATGCCCAGTTTATTTTCTTTTTTAAGACATAAAACTGCTTTAAAAATACTCCTTTATATTATAATTTTTTAAGTTATGAAAGTTATTTTTTTTCTGTCCTATGCAGCTGTTACCCTTCTGCCGCTGACATTTAATAGTTGCCATTGCACACTACTTTTCCATTCCCTAGCTCAAGTGCAACAGAGCTGGCCTGCAGACCCATCACTAGCATGACAGCCTGGCACAGTGTGGTGAACCAGTGCAGGGGCCAGTGGTCCAGACAGACCACCCTCACCACTGTGGGCAGGTGGCACGGGAAAATATGGGACACGGAAGGGGGCATCTATTTGGAACATTTAATAGGGTGTGACATACACACTGACAACATGAGATAAAAATGAATGCAAGTGGGTATATTAAGTTGAGAACAGTTAGTGTGAGTGACAAATACACCCACCACCAGCTCCCAGCTTCATTAAGAGCTATTCTGAACTGCACAGAAAGTGCTGGTTGTAGAAGCTTAGACAGATTGGAGATAGCTGACCAGTTACTCATTGAGTCTATTGTTTAAAAAAATAATGGAGAAAAAAATGTGTGCTTTGCCATTGAATGACTGATCCCACAGCTTGGGCACAACAGTAATAGTTACCTGGAATAACAGACCAACTGAAACGGAATTGCTGTTTCATTCAAATTACACATGCATGCAAAATTAAACAAGTGTGTTAACTAAGAATAATCAACATAAAAATCAAGTCTAAGTTACCCATTATTTATCATATATTTGTCAGACTGCCAGATATCTCTTTTCCTTTCAGATTCGTATCTGTGTCATACAGAACATAACAGATGGAGAAGTCACAAAGCAAACCCTAAACTCTGCATATCACTGGCCTTTAGTGCCAAAGTATTATGTGCCATAAGCCTTCCAAGTTTACCAGACTTTAGGGAGAAAACAGCTGCTGTACCCAACTGTGAAAATAGAAAATGTAGAACCCATCCTGCTCAGAACAGAAAGGAAATGGTTTTACAAAGTTGTGAACAGATACATAACTACTAACCCCTCAGTCCTGAGACAAAAAGAGCAGTGCAACTAGTGCAACTAGCTAGAACTTGCTTCTTGAAAAGCAAACAAAATCCAGGAAATGCAATGATTGTGTAGACAAAAATCTGTTTGGAAAGTCATGCTATCAAAGAGCTGAACCAGTGTTCTGCAAAGTGATGAACAGTACATCAACAGCTCCACTTGGGACAGACCATGAGATGACACTCTACAAATCTGTGAAATATCCAATTTAGTTTCACATGTCCAATATATCTCCGTGCCTATTACCAGTCTGCCACAGATTTTAAACTTACAAAGCTCCTTCCCATTGAGCTAGACTTTTTCTTCACCATAAAGTGCAAATAAGACTCAGGTTTTTACCACTAGTTCCAATGATCATTATCTTAGTTACAAGAGTGATCAAAAGCCAGTTGGCTGAGCCACTACTACTAGGCTTAGTGATACTCTTTTTTCTTTTTAACCCTGGTTACTTTTTCCAGCAAAAGGCAAAGAGAAAACAAGTGTTCCTTTTGCCAGATGCAGCATGACAGGAGGCTGCCTTAAGTACCATCAGTATAAGATGCACATTCTAGACAAAACCAGTACGTTCTTGTGCATAATAATGATTTGCCATTGTTTGCTGGAAATGGAAGTCATCTTTGGGATCTTATTTCCTCACAAAGAGTTCAGAAACAGTTGATTAGTCTTCATTAAGAGGTGCTTCTCTCTTCCTTGCATCTACATCAAAAAAAAGAAAAAAGTGAGAAGCAGTTAAACCGGGGGGTTCTGACAGAACTCATCTGAAAACTCAGAAACAAGTTGGTTTGTTTTCAATGGACAATACTTTCCATTTCAGAATTGTGATATGAATCCACTATGTGGCCTGAATTGCTGTATGACACCGCAGCATGTTAATGAAACAGTCACACCAAGATTTTGTACCTTTGTCCCACCGAAACTGAAGATGACCCATACAGTATTTAAGAAGCCCAATAAACTTTCAGACTCCAGATTAGTGATACTTCCTCCCACCACTTCTTGGCTCACAATCCCCTTTAAAAGTGAAGCCAGTATTTGCTTTGCATATAAGTACAGAGATGACAACAGTCTGTTCTGGAAATCATTCAACTAATTACAACTTTGCTGAACCCAGCTGCACATGTTTTCAAAAAGACAAGTGCTCTCCACACTGTATTTTGAGGAACTGCCTGAGGCAGCCCCTGAAGACCAAATCTTACACTGCTCCAAACAGCAAACCTTTGATCATGGTCCCAGGTAGGGTGTTGGGACACATCTGGGCAACTCAGTCCATGACTCATATGCCATTACTACAGTAGCAGGTAGTGTGGCTGCCATTAGAAAGCTGGGGTCATCTCTTTGTGGGCTTCTGCCGAAGTGTCTGTGGGCTGACTTGAAGCTACTAGGTAGCTCTTGAAGTGCACCATGATCACAGCTACTCCAGTACTGCCTGCCAAAAGATGCACTTCTTTCCAGCTCATAATCTATACATTCCAAGGTCACTATAAATTTTTCCACTTAGAAATATACCTCCTAAATAACAAAAGATGATCTGACTCTATGAGTAGAACCTTGGGTTGAAAAAAAATCTCAGTCATTTGCTGGGAGAAAAATCAGAAACTGTCTCTCCTATTTTCCCCATCACGTTCAACAGGGATACTAGGGCCAGGCCTAAATCTTCTTCTGCCACAGCTTCTCCACTTTGCATAAAATAACTCACTAGTGATTAGAGGTGAAAAAGCTTTCCGAAAAAGCATTACATACCCCTCTAGCTACAGAATCATTCCTGGTCTGTCTCTGACTTTGGAAATATCAAATGCATTAAATTCTTTCTGGTGAACATTTATTAAAAAAAAAAAATCATACCCGTTAAGCTCCTGAACTTTTTTTTGGCTTCTGCTCTTTCTTCGGCATCAAAATACCACACAGTCATGGCATATCTATAAAAGAAAGAAACCGTGTGTTTGTTTCAACTTTTGCTATTAAAATAGAACTCTGGAGTTTTATGCCCATGGAGAAAGCAAAAAACAAAACTGGATTAGTAGATAAAAAAATAGGATGAAAATGGCTCATCTTTATAGACAAATACAGACAGCATTTTAGCATGTATTTTATCAAGTCAAATAGAAATATAGGTGAGAATTTCTGCTTGGGGGCACAACAGAGAGCACAGCCCCTGGTAATAGAGGGCAAAAGTAGCTTTCAGGCCTTTGCATGTTTTTCTGCTCTGGGACGCCTGTAGGCAGCTTGGGGGTTGCCCTGCATCACATCAGCTTTTCATAGCCTGCTGACAGATGGTAGACCCAACAATCCCGATAGTATTACAAGGGCAAAAGAATAACCCAGCACTTCCCAGCTAAATAGTTATGCCTGCTTCGAAGATTTCTCCTGTCAATGGTTAAAGGCCTTTTTTTCCATCACACAAGGAAACTTACCATTCAAGCTTGCTCTTCCTTATTTAATGAGAGAATTCCTAGTGACTAACCAGAAAATTCACTCAAAACCTATTTTTTATGCACATGTGTATTTAAACATGACGGCCATAATGTTAGATACAAATATCGGTAGAAGAGCTGCTTTGGCGTTTTTCCTAGCCAAATACCAATACCAAATATGCTACTTACCTGGTTGCATAAGAAGGCTGGACTTCATGTGGGTTCCTTCTATCTGACCAAAAAAAAAGTAATCGGTCAAAAATTGGCTCAACATCTGCTACATAGGACTTTCCTTCTGGGAATATTCGAAGAATTCCACCATGCAGCTGAAAGAAAAGGAAAGATTGCTTTTTACATATATTAACATCCACACATTCATGTGAACCATAACTTATTTCTCCCTCCTCAACACCCAACAAATGAGGAATAAACATCTAATGATAACCAAGACAGCTATGTGACAACATTGGAAAACCTTACTGAATCTCCTGGCCACCTTAATTTTCCCAAACAGCTTGTAATGCTTCAGCATAACCTTCTATCTAAAGTAAATGGAACCAAGATAAAGATAACGCTAGCCCTGTAGCAAACACTGGGAAACTTCTGAGCTCCCAGTCACATTTCTAGAAACAGTGAATACCACAGAGCTGCTCCACCTGACCAGCCTGAATTCAAACTCTCCTCCCAGCAATTGGTAGACACTGCTTATAGTGTTTCAGTGCCTGCATCTGATAATATATGAATTAACTTTTATGCCCTGGGAAGAGTGAAGTCTGTTCTATTGTTAGATTTGTAAAGCTTCCCCTTAATACATTATAGCTCCCAGTCATCATTGTCCTTACTTAGACATAGCCTCGTTTCTCTCCCATATAATTTCTGCCTTTCTGTGTGCCATAATATTTAGGGAAAAGGTCTGATGATCTGCACGCACTGTGGAAACTTCAAAAGATGAAGATGAACCCTGCCTCATCCCTGCTGCTGTTAGAGAGTTCTTTGGAGGTTTTTATGATGCACCAGAGAACAGCAAAGATGCTGTCAACCCAGCACTGACCCGACGTAGTACCTCTATGCGGCATGCAGATCTCAGTGAGAAACTACTAGGTCAGGTTTAAAGCCACAGTTGCTTTCAAAGCCCAGTACAGTTATACTGTTATATTGCATCTCCTCCAGCATACACTTACATAAAATTACCGTCACACCTACCTAATGAACTCCATCAGTGTCCTGGATTTCAGTTAGCTTTTCTTAGTGCCCACTCGGGTGCTTCCTCACTATCTGAGTAAGAGTGCAGTGCACAAAATAAATTGGATATTTGCATTTCCTCTCACATCTCCTCCTTCATTTTATTACATTGAGATGTTTCACTGTCATACTCTCTGTAAAGGGATGTGTTTTTCTGCAACAGTGCATTTTTCAATGGCATCATCTCTATACCTGAACTCCCTTATGGGGGTTCATAGTATTTACATGTGCTTAAAGAGCATCTTGGCCTGAAAACGGGTTAGAGAAGCAAAAAACACTGGAAAATTTTCAATAGATCAGCCACGTGAATGGTTTGTGCTGCATTATGACAACAGAATTGTAAAGAGACATCCTGCAGTTTTACAAACCCTTCTTTTGTTCCTAACTTAAAGGTATGGTACATTCAAGGCTGACTTAACTGTCTTAGTAATATAGGCAGAAACTAGAGCTCTGTGCTGTCAAGAGACCCACTGGTAGAATCAAAGCTGGAGAGCATGAACCAAACCATGTGTTTATTCCTCTTACTAAGCCCCACTGCTTCCTAAAGAAAACCACAAAGGGAACTGTCTGAAGATCTTCTGCAGGTTAGCCTGAAGTATCAAGAATGATAAAGGCACAAATTTGGACTGTCATTTTACTCTGCTCCCATAATCCACTTATTCTTTAGTGGATTGTTTTTCTTTCTAGTGCTGTTTCCTCTAAACAAAGTGTTAAGAGCACACAGCTCAGTGCTTAGAAGCTTTATTTTATAGCAACAAAAGAGTATGTGTGTATGATGGGAGAGAGAATGGTAAGGAAACGGTTCAGCTTTTTACTTCCAAAGGGTTGCCATAAACACCAAGAAAAAAAAATGGAGAGATGAAAAATAGACCAGCTGTTCAGAAGCTGAGAGTTCACAGAAACAAACCAACAGCTCCAAAGCTCTGTTTCTGAAGTAGTTTTTCTTTCATGTTCTGCCTCAAACCTGTGGCTCACTCACCTTGGAGTCCCAATTCTTATTCAGGTAATAAATACAGGTGATGCAGCGCCCATCACCATTTGGATTGTCCACATGACGAACATAACCAGTTCCATTTCCAGGATAGCAAGCAACCATAGCCTGCAAGATAAAGATTGTAAAATAATTAATCCTACAAGATGCCTAACTTCAGTTTTAATTTTCTAAGCATCCTCCCATCACCAGTTTGGTTCAGTATTTTTCAGCTTATCAATCCAAAACCTGCAGCAGACACCACCAGAAGGTATATTTGCACAAACTTCTTTCACAGGAGAGGTTAGCCAGAATGAAATTCCAAACTGGAAAATAAACACCCTTCATAATTCACAATATATACACTAAGGTAGAAAAAAATTGAATTAAACTAAAGCACTAATATGTATGGTACAAGTTTGTCATCTACAAGCTACGTGACTTTGAAGGAGTTTCAGCTGAAGTTTGCTTAGGTTTCTAAAGATAAGCAGTCATTGCAAAATTGATTTGCCAGTCATAATGAAAGTAGAAAGCAATCCGAGCACGTCATGCCTTACTACCATCATCCTCCTCTGTTCATATCTTCCAGTCACTGTCATATAGACCCCTAAGTCCAACACAAAGTAAGGGTTCCCAGGAAGTGTGGGTAAAAGTCCACAGAGCAAAGTCTGCAAAAAACTGCAGCTCCTTTGTGCTGTGTTTGTACAGGGCAGGGCATGTTTGCTTTCATGGACTGAGCCACAGAACTAACCAAACAGCTTTCAGAGCATACTTCTCTCTTTGATCATCTTCAGACTTGCTGATACAATCGCTTAATTCACGGTTTAAATTTCACGTTGAATGATGAGATAAGCCTAACATGAATTACTCCAAACCACATGACAGTCAACGTCTTATAAGGCTTTTTACAGCAAAGATGTTGACATCATTAGCAGCCTAAGCAGAATGCAGGGAAGAGCAGGTGAGACTGTTGGTAAGGTATAGATCTTTGTCTCAGAGTCAATTCTTCACTATTGGGGCTACTTGGTAGTGATACCAATCACCCCTAAAGTTGTTGCAATAGAAGTCTTGTTCCCAGTCCTCTGACATTTCCTTTCATTGCCTGCCAGTAGTAGCAGCAAGAGTGATGGGAGATGATGAACTAAGTTTGGTTGGAAAGCTGCACACAGTATCCAGATGTGGTTTCTCCAGAGATGAGAGGGCAATAATCACTCCCCTCAATCTATGTGCTGTGCTTCTGTAAATAGTGCCCTGAAGCCTCTTGTGCAGGAAGCACGCTGCAGGCTCATGTTCAGTTCACTTTCCACCAAGACCACCTGAGTGTTCCCAGGCTCCCCGGGGAGGGAGCAGAGCTGATCAGAGCTGCTGGCAGCCCCCAGCCTGCTGCAAGGCACTCTTCCTTCCCAGGAGCAGGACTTGTGTTTGCCCATATTTATTTCCATAAGGTTCCTGTTGGCCTGTTCCCTGAGTCCATCTGGGACCCTTTGGTTGCAGCCTTGCCCTCGAGGTCATCAACTGGCCCCCTCAGTTTGGGGTCTTCTGCACACTTGAAGAGAGGGCACTCTACCATCTGCTTCAGGTTACTGATAAATAAGAGTGGTTAACATGATTGGTCCCATGATAGATCCCTGTGGTGCTCCATTTGTTACCAGCCTCCAGGTATAATATGACTGATTGACCACAACCCTCCAAATCCAACCATCCAACCAGTTTTTTGCCCATCTAGTTTTCCATCCATTCAGACCATAACATCCTACCTTCAGATGCAAGAGTATTGTCCATACCTGTCCCCCAGGACAAGGATATGACTGTGTACCATTTGTATGACCTGCTCCAATGATCTGCCATGCACAGTTGATAGCGTTGGAGATTGACAGTACAGGCTTTACTAAGACCAGTTGAAATTTTTATCTAAGAACCCCAGAAGTCTTGTTTTCGTCTTCCAAGCACATGCTAAAGCCATGCTGTTCTCATGGGGCACATGACCAGCTAGAGTATAGCACATGCTGCTTTAATCACCAAGGTAATCACCATGCCAACAAACACCAGCGCAGAAGCTATTGCCAGCCAGCACAGAGGATCCCTTGAACCCCCTGCTACCAAGAACAAAATCTATCCACAGGAGTCAGCATGTATGAATTAACTTTCCTTCCTCCCCACAAGCACCAGAACAGTACCTGCAGGCAGAAGTAAGTCACCAGGACCTGTTCTTCACCTTGACACCTCAAGCCACAGATGCCTAGAGACTGGTGGCCTACAGAGGCAGGAGATTATGCTAAACAAGAGCAAATACCTTTAATTCCAAGTAATAAGCTCTCTTCCATCACACCTGGCAGTTGGCTAGATGTTTTGCTGTAGACCCTGTCTGCTCTGTTGTCATTCTGCCATTATATATGGCTTCACAGCTGCATCTGTATTTCACTATCAGCCTGATAACAGCAGTAAGGGTCAACCTACAGCCAGTGTTGGAAATAAGTCTGTTAGAAGCAGAAGTCTGGCGGAAACCACAAGTCAGCTGTATCTGCAACGTAAAAATGGTCTGAGGGAGCTGTGCCCTCACTGGTGTGGATAACCCACCTCACGCATCCCTCCCCCCACAGCAACTCATGCAGGTGCACTCTTCACCCATCCCATGCACAGTGAGCTGAATTAGATCTAACAATTAAAATAGTAACCTTTTGCAAAACTGGATCCTCATACACTGGGAAACACAACCTTGGTGCCCAGCAAAGCTGCTCCATCATTACCCTCTTCAACTGAGCAGGGGCGAGAAAAATGTAATGAAAGGCTCACAGGTCAAGATGAGGACAGGGAGAGACCGCCCATCAGTTACTGTCACAGGCAGAACAGACTTGACCTGGGGAAACTAGTTTAATTTATTGCCAATCAAATCAGAGTACGAAAATGAGAAATAAAACCAAACCTTAAAACACCTTCCCTCTACCCCTCCCTTCTTCCTGGGATGAGCTTCATTTCCAAGTTCTCTATTTGGTCAGCAGTAGGTCCACCTTGTAGCCAGCTGGCATTGGCTCTGTTGGACATGGGGGGAGGCTTCTAGCAGCTTCTCACAAAAGTCACCCTGGTAGCACCACCAGCTACCAAAACCTTGCCCTGCAAACCCAACACATCCTGGGAGCTGAGAGTGCAAAGGAGAAGGGGCAGCGATTCCAACAGACAGGCAGGGAGGAGGGCTGTGCCAGGGGAACTGGGTGCTCATCTCTGCCACAGGCACAGCTGCTTCCAAAGGGGATGTGCAGCTACACTATCAGTGTGAGCTCGGTAGAGCTCTGCTAACCATACCAGAGGGATGACACAAGATGGGAACAAAACTCTGTTGACTGATAATACCTCGATTTTAAGTCGATGTACAACACAAAATTATGAAGGCCTGAAGTCTCTCTTTGGAGAGTAGATATTATTCCAAGATTACTGAACTGCCTAAAAATTAATTCAATATTACTACTCTTTTTTAATGCCACAATCAAAAAGCTGCTGAACAACAACAGACTGTAGGCCAGATCCTTAAAGGGATTCAGGTGCTTTACTTACTATGGAAATCCGGGCAGAAGGCCAGCGTTTTCCCCAGCCTCCCCCACATAATATGTTCTCTTACCAGAACGTGTGCTTTGTCTCTGAGACGTTGATGCATTATTTATTTATTTATTTATTTACAGTGTGCACCTTTTGCAATTGCAACACTGATTCCCTGGAGATGAAGTGGAACAATTTCCACAGAATTCTAAAGCACTGGCCACACTCTAGCTTAACTTTCAGAAAAGAAAAGAGAAAAAAGTTTTTTAGTAGCAGCAGCAAAAGGAGAAAAGCAGAAGTGAAATATCCTTTTCCTGGCACAGTGAATATTTGAATGAAACCTTAAACAATGAAGGGAAATCATTCTGGTCCTCCTAGATGAAATGATATCAAGCTTTATCAGAGCACTGGCTGGAGCAGCTCCAGAGCAGATCAAGCTGGCCTCAGCAGGGATTCCAGCTGTTAGCACTACTTTTGGATTCATTCAAAGCAAACAAGAAACAGGAGATGAGATGCATGACCCAGACTTAATTTAGGTAATTGGTGAACAATGTTATTTGCCAGTTTAGTGCACAGTCTAGCTACAAAAGCCAGATGCTCCATCACAATAATCAAACCATTTACCAGGTGCACATATGGAATGTGAGTAAAAAATGTTTCCTATACTTTTGGCTATTGTGTCCAGAAGAGCACACTCCAAATTTTTGGATACAACTCCTCCCTTCGTTAACCAACTCCAAACCTAAACTAACTACAGCAGGCTGTAATGAGCAGGAATATACCTAACTTTTTTTTCCCAATACAATCCATTACAATGACTGTTAGTTGGCTTAACTTCCTAGTGTAAGCACTCAGAAAATTTCAGCAACACTACCCTTTTCTAAGTTAAAATAGAAAGGTTGGTCTTACTGAACAGTTAAAAATTCTGATATACAGATGCATGCCTTTCCAGTCACACATACACACACCATCATATGAAGACCAACGCTCTGGCAGTCAACAGTTATAAATTAGAGACTACAAAACTTGGAAAATGAAAAGCAAAACATTAAGACTTAAGTTTCTGTACTGTCATTTTCAGGAACGTTAGCTTTCCCAAAAGGGTGCAAATCAACCACAAGTTAAACAAGCAGCAATTACCAGCTTTAGTAAGGACCCAGGAATCATCAGTAAATTCCACATTGCACAGAAGCTTGCAAAAATGTTATTCATCACTCAGGCTAAGTATTACACTCAAGTCAGCCAGAGAAATCTGCAAGTCAAACTGCAAGACACCAGCAAAGTTTGGAGGCAGATAATAAACAACTGTTCCATAGAGAGGACTTTTCCCTGCCTCCCAGTGCTTCTAGCAAGAAGAAAAACAAATTCTCTTAGCTGATGGCCAGGATCATGCTGTGAGACATGATTCTGCTACGTTTCACAAAATAAGCAGTGCTAGAGCAGCCTGACACTTGGAACAAAACATTTCAGAAAATACCTCAGCTAGAAGATGCTAACACTGCTTAATAAGAAGCGGTGATCACACCAGGTCAGAAGGAGAAGCTCTCTGTACCTCCTAGCACTAAGCTAGGGCCTCAGTACACTCCTAGTGCAGATTG